CTAACTTAAAACTATAAAATACACATTCACTAACAGTTCTGTTGTTCTAGTTAAAACAAAGTGTGTAAGGGTGCGTGAAAGCAGAGTGCACTGATGGCGTAAGCAAGTGTGTCAATCGAAGCAATCCCTTGTTTAGTCCGTGGATCAGCTCTTATTGATAATTGTAATGAGAAATAGTGATTCATTCAATAGCATTCTTGTTTTTCTTCTTCCGTTGATCGGAATACCATTTTTCGTTGACCTCAACCATTTGTAGAATGAAACTATGGTTTTATATGCGGGGCATAATGTTGGAACTATGTACGCACGAGCTGTGGGCATCAATAAACAAATGTGCATTGGAAACTGAGAAGTTTTTCCAAACTGAGAGTGATGTTGCTGGAGTATGATGATCATGCGTAATTTATGCTATATTCAGCTGTCTGCGTGTCTTATACGTGGTTAAGTGGTGCGTTCGGTACGAATTTTGTCTGGAGTAAATGAATTCACTGAAGAAATCTGGAAAAGTCATTTGAAGGCACAGTATGCGAATCCTAGAAAGTCTGGAAGCGATGTTCAAGGTAACTTGGAAATGCTGTAGAACTTTTGAAGATGTGAGACGTAATTATTAAGGGTCACAGTTTATAGTTGGAGCATACGAAGAATGCTACGGGAATACAGTTTTTATTTTCAGCTCCTCAATCAGTGATCGTACTCACGTTTTAATTCATTGAATCGCAAACACACGGACTGGAATCCTGGTGACAAAAGCACGGAAGATGTAAAATATATAGAATAGTGGAGGGCTGTGTAGTCGAAAAAAGCATGAATAAGATTCAGAGTTAGGAATAACAGTGGATCGATGATGCAAAGAAAAATATTGAGAGATAACACGATATTTTGTGATACACTGTAGTCTACCAAGACTGCTCTCAAATTCACTCCACCAACACTAACTACGAATGAACTTCCTAAAATTACTCTTTACATCAAAATGATGAAACATGGTGAGAGTTCGGCCTGAGCAGGCTTCACCAAAAGCTCGTCATGTCAAACATCACTGCGTACAGATTATGGTCGGTTGAATTTTGGCATTTTATATTCTGTTATCAGAACGCAAAACCTTAGAAACAAATTTCAACTACCACGTAAGACTCTAATACATAGAAGCACATTTTGATTTTAGCAGATGGTAACAGGGAACTTTTCTGGTTATCCGGATTTAACTGGGTGTAAGATAAATGCATCGATTTAAATATAAGTGCTGTAGCTTCTGTTCCACGAGATTTTTGTTGAATTCTGGTGATCTGGAGGAAGAACCGCTAAACACTTATGAATTACCATTCATATCCGTAAAGGCTTCTCGATCAACGGTGTGGGGAGTTTAAGGTGACTCCCTCCCCAAAATAAACATCTTCAGTTGGTGGCATGCAAGAGAGGTCACTTTTGTATGGAACACCACCAGCAGTCAATCGTGTTCAACGCCTCAGAACATGGTGATAAAATAAAGAATGCTATATATCTGCATAATTGATAAGCACACAATATCAGAAACTATAGTATTCAAGTTTGTGATCTTCAAATTGTACTGTTTCAAATCCTTGACTCCAATCTATTAACTTGTCTGAATACCGCTCGTGAATGACAACCTAAAATAACAATTGTTCATTATGCACAATTTAAAGTGATCTATTTTAGTCCCATTCCGTTTTGAATTTGAACATTGTTATCCACTGTGAACAAACAACTTAATCCAGGTCTTGTAAACGCGAAGAAGCCAAATGATTCTTTGCATCCAACGTTCATGAAAAATACGCACCACTTATTTATGTTGCTATGTTCTTCTAGCTACAACAACAACAGCCAGGGTGACGAGGACGTTTGCCACAACAACAATAACAACAACAGCAGCAGCAGCAACAACAACAACAACTACATTGATCCGTTCTTATGTTCTGCCGATGTTCTCAGGTTGGGCCATTCTGTAGAACAAGCAACCCGGCATTACTGGCAGAAGAGATATTAAACGACAGATGTTTTCAATTCTTTTTTCAGTCGATTGAAAATTTACCTTTGGAAAAGTTGACCCATTGTAACCGAAAAGTCGGTACATTTTCAAAACCTCAACCGACAGCTCCGTGCTGCTTATAAGAACACGCATTCTGATGCAAAACAGCACATGATTGGTCGGTTTTTCATACAATCAGAACTTCGTTTGATAGTGGTACAACATGTAAGCTGATTGATGCGAAATACACAGAGAGAATATGACATCCAAAACATTCCGGCAGTAAAAAAATGATAATGAATGACAAATAATATTTCCAACGAGTAATTGACTCCGTCGCACTTGTGAACAAAAAAGACTTGTAGTATAAGGTAAAATTAATATATATATATTTTCCCTTTACAAGAGTTTATAACATGAAATATAATATCTGATAGTTGGGAAGCAGTAAATTCAACACGTCCTCATTTGATAATTGTCAAATAATCGCGGAATCCATTTGGGCTGGTATTGGATATCAACGAGATAATGGAGGTACAATACTCACGGGGACGTTAACATGATGCAAGACATAACTGCTGACACTACCGAAAAATGTGCGTCGAACTTTGCCGACTCCACGATTACCCATTATAACATAATCCCCTTTAAGTTCGTGGATCACTTTGACCAAAGCCACTCCCGGTTTGGTATCAATGTACAAGAATGATTGATTTTTCACCCCATGTTCAGTGGCTTCTTGCATACAGTTCCGACACAGTTGCTCGCCTTCCTTGATCGATTCGTCCGACACGCGTAGAGTCGTCCCGGCCAGCGCAGGACAGGATTCAATTGCAAGACTGACAATGGTTTTCGGATGAATCGGTTCAATAATATGGATGAACAGGAGAAGATCGCCTGGTTCCATAATTTTCTCGTAATACCATTCTCGAGCTCGTTTGGAATGCTGACTGGAATCTGTTGGTAAGATTACCCTGCGTCGAATTTTGTGCTCCTGATCTGTTTGGTAGTCAGTTGGCATAGTTCCTGTTGGAGATACCGCTTCGCGCTTTCCTGATAGCCTGATTGAGAATGTATCACATGGGTGGTTGTGTATATGAGGTTAGTACAGTTGAGCGTGTTCATAGCTGTGCACATGTGCATACAATTGGATGCTTGGGTGCATGGGTGTGTCTGCAAGGACACAGTTAGGGCACTTCACTGATTGACTGACTGGCTAATTGAAGTGGCTGAGAACAGCGAATGAGCCAATGTATCCTTTAGATCACGGTGATTGACCACGGCGGTGGCACAGACGCGTAGGGGAATTAGAGTGAGTTCGTGTGATCGCATGAGCACCAATCGGGAGTATGGTGTGCGAAGATCAAATATTGTATTTAATTATTCCATTGATAGCATTAAATAGGACTGGATCAAGGCGGGTCTGTTAAACTGTACTTCGGTCACTCCTTGAAAAGGCAACTAACTGGAGACAATATTCGAGTTGTGTACAAAAGTCTAGGATTAATCTACTCACAGCTTTGGATGAGGTTCGTGAGGACGTTTGAAAAATAAAACCCGTATGCATGACTGAAATAGGGATTAGTTTAGTGCCACGGAGATCAGGGCAGGCTGGTTTATTGCAGTTCGCATTGGGTTATGCTTAGCCATTTTTGTATAACAAACGCAGTGCCCATTAGAACCGAGATCATAGGCAAAAATATTTCTGTTGAGTTCATTCCCCAGCCATTATAATCACACTTAAGTAAGAAAATAACGGGAGGGTGATGTGTTGCTGTCGAACAGTCGAAGTCAATTAATGATAGCAAGGGAGTGGGGAGGGACAGGTTTGTCTCTAGTTCTCTTGTTCGGATAAAAACGAGTTACGTAATTAGAAAATAGAAATAGCTTTGCTCCCGTTTTACTTCTGGCTAATGCCGGTATTTAATAGCGCTACACTCGGGCAAAATATCAGAGAACTGATTATCTATCATGTTATGAAGGAATGATGACATATGCAAGCTGATAGTGGCATTAACTCAATTAAAGTGGAGGGGTTGTTCCAATTTTACTTTCGAACGTATTACAGATGGATTTAGGCCGATGGCTCAGGTCATCTAAAATGAGCAGTACGTCACATTAACAATCATCTAGTCTGACTTTAGTCGTAGTGGATTTGGTGAATTTGCACTGCTGATGATACCTAACACAAGCTAGCGGGAACAGTTGCAGACTGGTTCCAAAGCCTATCATTGGGGAGCAAAAAACATGACCATACATGAAGAATCTGATCGTAAAAACTAAATCTTTTTTCCCAATAATTTTACCTTTTTACACGATATGCTGCTGTAACAAGATTATATTAGACTATAGGAAAAAAAGTTGCGTGAATGACCACTTATTTGGGAAAGAGGAGATAGGGTGGACTAATTTTATCTGAGGGATGAAGGGAGTTGGACTAGCTTATGGGAAATCAGAGTCATCTCTCAAAATCGATTTTGCTCTTGATCTAACACTAATTTCATTTTCTGTAATCGCTCACGACACTACGAGGGCTAAACCAAAAGCTTCCGGATGCACAATGAGTTTCATTTGTTACAGAAGAATGAGCATTACATTTTCTCGAAGTAGTCTCCACCAACGCTAATGCACAGTTCCATGCGCCTAAAATCATTTCGTTGAACAGCTCGACCATGACGAAGCGGGTAACCCTTCGACCAGTTCAATGAAGGCCTCCATTGCAGCTGTTTGTGACTCGTATAGGAATCCACGCATCATGCGCTTGATATTTGGGAACACACAAACGTCGCACGGAGCCAGGTCTGGACTGTAGGGTGGATGATCAACCTCCTGGATGTGTTCTCTTGCCAGAAAATCGCCAACGACACGGGAACTGTGTGCAGGTACTTTGTCGTGGTACAGCAAGGTCCCTCGTGATTGAGTCTTTGGACGGAGCCTGGCAACAGCTTCCAGAAACTTCGGCAGACAGTGGATGGCGTACCAATCTGCGGTGGCTGTGCTTTGCTGTAGGAACGGTACAGTAGCCACATGGCCGGTTTTGGCCATGAACAGAGCCACCATTAGCTTTGTCACACTGCGCTTGAGTCGGAATTTCTGAGGTGGCGTCCAAAGAGCCGATTGTTCCTAGTCTCTGGTTTATTGAGGGCCTAAACTGAGTCCAGACATATAATGAGTCATTCCGACATCCACACCTGAGCACGGTGACCGATTTATCGATCCATCTTGACGTGATTAGCATCCTTACCCGGGCGACCGAGGTTGATTTTCACCGGGTTCGTTCATTTTCTCCTAAAGCTCCCTCGATCAATGGTCAAAGACAAATCGCTATCGGGTGATACTAGGGAACAAACAGTGAAACCCCAGTCCACCGAAACTTTCATCCACGCTCGATAACTTGTCAATGAATTAATCAGTTCATCCCAACTGGACGGAATATTGATTGACTCGGTTCAACCGGTGACGTGTTACGACTGAAGCACCAGTCAATCTGTGGAGTTGCCAGTAGAATACGATTAGTTGGATTCTCTTGAAGTTACAACAGTTTCATTTGAAATTGAAAAGGTATTTATGGAGCATTCGTAAATCGCCTTCTCATGGGCAATCACGAAAAAGATTCATTAGGCGTAATATCAGTTTATAGAGGCCATTAATATCAATCAGGATGACTCAGGAACAACTATTCTGGCATTCGAATCAAGAATTAACGCAACACGGGTCTTTTTACTCGTTCAGAATTGTTTCTAACCTCTATGTACGAAAACTCATTTGAAACATCTTCCCGAAAGCCGTGCTTTTGAATCTTACCGCTGTCAACTAACCACCGCCTTTTGTTAATCGTGGCAACTATTTGACTGGTTGATTCCCCGTTCCTGAAAGTAGGTTGCAGTATTCTGTATGCAATAGAAACAAGGGAATGAATTCGATTATTAGTGGGAACGGGCATACAGATTGAGAATTAAATGGGATACTCGATTGAATCGCCAAATTTGAATGTACACAGTTTTTCGTTTTAACCATAAATCATCCATTTTAAGGTTACAAAGCTCAGTAGTTTCATTCATTAAAATAATACACATCGACCTATTGTCCGGATTGCAGTGAGAATCCGTAAGTCATTTTAAACAGACTGGACAACGAAAAGGCCATTAGTCCCGATGAGGTTCTACGGCTGACTGCCTTAATTTAAACAGCATTCTAAAATCCTTCTTTGAAAGATCACATGGTAAAACTAGAGAATGGGATTATGTGCTCACCGAAGCAATCAGTTGATTAGGGTTCCTTTAATGCATCACTTTTAAAACCTCAAAAGGTGCGCATTCCTAAACCGGGATTTCTACTTAAACCCATCGCATTGTCGAGTATTTCAGATCATCACAAAATAGCTCGTCAACACCCTAGAGACTGTATAATAAAAGGTAATACAACGTGCTTCGATAGCGAATTTGCTATTTTCCGAAATTCCTAAATTTACAATATAATAGAGAAAAAGTTTTCTTTGCAATGTGATTTCATTTGTCATTTCGGTGAATGAGAGTTTTCTCAGTTTAGTGTCGCCCTGAGGTGATAAGTCTTCTAAAACTATAAATAGTCTACTCATAAGTAAGTACTCATAAGTAGTCAAAACAAAATAAACAGTAGACAGCCACTGCAGGTGAACGAGTGCGGTTTATTCCGGTGATATTTCGGTACAACATGCGCAGTAGTTTACGTTATGGATAATTATCGTTCATTGCTTTTATTGACGCTGATTTGGAACCATGTTTCTATGGCATATACAACTTTCAGCTATCTACACTGGACAAGCAGCATTGCAAACTTGAGCGTAGGCTGGTTGAGCCCTCAGAATCTGGTGGTCTTTTCGCTTTTTCTACCACATTTACCTCTGGCTTAACTTTTCATCAATTATTATGACCTCAGCGGTTACCTACAATGCGCTCTGATTAAGGTCCATTCGGGTGTTCGTGATAAATAGCAACGATTTGTCGTTATGTGCTTCTTCTCGTTTTATGAGGAAGCCGGTACCGGTACTCTCTCCTTGCCACGGAAACTCAATAAACATCTACAACCACAAGTCTTCTGGTTTAACCAGCTGTAACTTGGTTGAGTTGCGAGCTCGGGTTTCCCGTTGTGAACCGCGTCATGCTCGATCGTGGTCCGCATCACTTCAATGAATCTGTACATCACCGTTCAATAGGATTTACAAATTCAGTGTGCTATAAATGTCTTCGTTTGTCTAACGCAGAGATTGGCTAACTCTAAACTCCGTCAACATTCCTAGCAGAAGAGAGATAGTCATCTCAATCCATTGGATATAGAAACCGTGCTAGGGAACAAATCCTACCGTCGGCCATGAAACGAAACGAATTTGTTCTGCGGGCCTTAAACTCGACCTCTTACAGTGCTTCTTCTCGTTTTATGAGGAATAAGGTTAGATGGTTCACCAGAAATGCAACCGGCAAACGCAGCAAACATCGTGGTTGCTAGAAATTTATACTAGAACATATAAACACGAAGACAATTGATCTTTCCATCATTTTATCGTCATATAAACTATCAGGTGAGAAAACAAAAAAATAGTGGTATCATCAAATGTGTGGAACATTTGTACTGTAGCTCCACCCGATGCATATTCACTCACTGTACACAACACATTTCTTATATAACTCTATGAAGGTAAATCACGTTTTCATCATTTTTACATCATCATTTCAAATCTCTACATCACTCCTGACTGTAATCATGATGAATTACCAACATTTCTGGATAGATGTTATGCATTTATTTTGGACAAGGCTGTCACAACTGTTTTCATCATTGCTGGCCCCATCAACAGATTGAATGTGGATTTTACCACAATATTCTCTTCAGAACACTCTCAGATTTCCAATAAGAATGCTTCCCCTTTATGACACTTATTTGTTAATGAACCACCTTTTATTCATGCTTTTTAACGTGCACTAGTAGGTATTTCCAATCGCTATCTAAGATTTACCCACGTTATACCGCAAACACATTCTACAA